CCCCAAATACAAGAGCACCCACATTTGTAAAAGACACATTGATAAAATTTAAACCACATATAGATCCCCACACATTAATAGTGGGATACTTCAACACCCCACTCTCAACAAAGGACAGGTCAACAAAACAGAAATTAAACAAAGAAACAATATCTCTGACAGAGGTCATGAATCAAATGGACCTCACAGACATTTACAGAACATTACCCCCAAACACAAAAGAATTTACCTTCTTCTCAGCACCTCATGGAACCGTCTCCAAAATAGACCATATAGTTGGTCACAAAGCAAGCCTCAACAGATACAAGAAGACTGAAATAATCCCTTGTATCCTGTCTGATCACCATGGAATAAAGCTGGACTTCAATAACAACAGAAATAGCAAAAAGCCTACACACACATGGAAACTGAACAACTTGTTACTAAATGACAGCTGGGTCAGGGAAGAAAGAAAGAAAGAAATTAAAGCCTTTCTAGAACTCAATGAAAATGAAGACACAACATACCCAAACTTGTGGGACACAATGAAAGCAGTGCTAAGAGGAAAGTTCAGAGCACTAAGTGCCTTCAAGAAGAAATTCGAGACAGCTCATTCAAGGAACTTAATGGCCCACTTAAAAACCCTAGAAAAAGAAGAAGCAGACACACTACAAAGGAGTAGACGGCTGGAAATAATGAAACTCAAGGCTGAAATCGATCAATTAGAAACAAATAAAACAATTCAAAGAATCAATGAAACCAAGAGCTGGTTCTTTGAGAAAATCAACAAGATCGACAAACCCTTAGCCAAGCTAACTAAAAGGCAGAGAGACACCACTCAAATCAACAAAATCAGAAATGAAAAGGGGGACATAACTACAGACACTGAGGAAATCCAAACAATCATTAGGACTTACTTCAAAAGTCTATACTCAACAAAATTTGAAAACCTAAATGAAATGGAGAATTTTCTTGATCGATTTGACTTACCAAAGCTGAATCAGGACCAGGTAAATCAATTAAATAGTCCTATATCCCCCAAAGAAATAGAAGCAGTCATCAAAAGTCTCCCATCCAAAAAAAGCCCAGGACCAGATGGCTTCAGCGCAGAATTCTACCAGACCTTCAAAGAAGAGCTAACTCCAATTCTCTTCAAACTATTCCACAAAATAGAAACAGAAGGAACATTACCAAACTCATTCTATGAAGCCACAATCACCTTGGTACCTAAACCTCACAAAGACTCAACGAAGAAAGAGAATTTCAGGCCAATCTCCCTTATGAACATTGATGCAAAAATACTTAACAAAATACTTGCAAACCGAATCCAAGAACACATCAAAGATATCATCCACCATGACCAAGTAGGCTTCATCCCAGGCATGCAAGGGTGGTCCAACATACGGAAATCCATCAATGTAATCCACCACATAAACAAACTGAAGGAGAAAAAAACCACATGATCATCTCCTTAGATGCTGAAAAAGCATTTGACAAAATCCAACATCCATTCATGTTTAAAATACTGGAGAGATCAGGGATACAAGGCACATATCTAAACATAGTAAAGGGGATTTACAGCAAGCCTATAGCCAACATCAAACTGAACGGAGAGAAACTTAAAGCAATCCCACTAAAATCAGGGACAAGACAAGGCTGCCCACTCTCTCCATATCTCTTCAACATAGTGCTGGAAGTCCTTGCTAGAGCAATAAGACAGTTGAAGGAGATCAAGGGGATACAGATGGGAAAGGAAGAACTCAAATTATCACTATTTGCAGATGATATGATAGTATATATGAGTGACCCCAAAACTCTACCAGGGAACTCCTACAGCTGATAAACACCTTCAGCAAAGTGGCCAGATACAAAATTAACACAAAAAAATCAGTAGCACTCCTGTATACAAAAGACAAAAGGGCTGAGAAAGAAATTAGAGAAACAACACCATTCACAATAGCCACAAATGACATAAAGTACCTTGGTGTAACCCTAACCAAGGAAGTCAAAGACTTGTATGAAAAAAAATTCAAGTCTCTGAAGAAAGAATTAGAGGAAGATATGAGAAGATGGAAAGCTCTCCCGTGCTCATGGTTTGGCAGGATTAACAAACTAAAAATGGCCATCTTACCAAGAGCAATCTACAGATTTAATGCAATTCCCATCAAATTGCCAACACAATTCTTTACAGACCTGGAAAGAAAAATTCTCAACTTCGTATGGAATAACAAGAAACCGAGAATTGCTAAAACAATCCTCTACAATAAAAGATCTTCTGGAGGTATCTCCATCCCTGATCTCAAGCTGTACTATAGAGCAACAGTTATAAAACTGCATGGTACTGGCATAGAAACAGAATGGTGGATCAATGGAATCGTACAGAAGACCCAGAAATAAACCCACACACTTACGGACAACTGATTTTTGACAAAGATGCCAAAATCATACAATGGAAAAAAGATAGCATCTTCAACAAATGGTTCTGGTCCAACTGGATGTCTACATGTAGAAAAATGAAAATAGATCCATACTTATCACCCTGCAGAAAACTGAAGTCCAAGTGGATCAAAGACCTCAACATAAAACCAGACACATTAAATCGGCTAGAAAAAAAAAAGTGGGGAATACCCTAGAACTCATTGGTACAGGAAAAAACTTCCTGAACAGAACACCAACAGCACAGGCTCTAAGAGCAACAATCAATAAATGGGACCTCATGAAATTGAAAAGCTTCTGTAAAGCAAAGGACACCGTCATCAAAACAAAGCAACTGCCTACAGATTGGGAAAGAATCATCACCAACCCTTTATCTGACAGAGGACTCATATCCAATATATATAAAGAACTAAACAAGCTGAAAAGCAATAAACCAAGTAATCCACTTAAAAATGGGGAACAGAGCTAAAGAGAGAATTCTCTGTAGAGGAATATCAAATGGCAGAGAAGCACTTAAAGAAATGCTCAACCTCATTAGCCATTAGGGAAATGCAAATCAAAACAACCCTGAGATTTCACCTTACACCCATCAGAATGGCCAAGATGAAAAACCCAAGGGACAACACATGCTGGAGAGGTTGTGGAGAAAGGGGAACCCTTCTCCACTGCTGGTGGGAATGTAAACTGGTACAACCACTCTGGAAATCAATCTGGCGCTTTCTCAGACAACTAGGAATAGCGCTTCCTCAAGATCCAGCCATACCACTCTAGGCATATACCTAAAAGAGGCGCAAGTACACAAAAAGGACATTTGCTCAACCATGTTTGTAGCAGCTTTATTTGTAATAGCCAGAAGCTGGAAACAGCCCAGATGCCCCTCAACTGAAGAATGGATGCAGAAACTGTGGTACATCTATACAATGGAGTATTACTCAGCAATGAAAAATAACGAAATCATGAAATTTGCAGGTAAATGGTGGGACCTGGAAAGGATCATCCTGAGTGAGTTGTCCCAGAAGCAAAAAGACACACATGGTATATACTCACTCATATAAACATACAATATAGAATAAACCCACTAAAATCTGTACATCTAAACAAATTAAGCAAAAGAGAGGATCCTAACTAAAATGTTCAATCTCCACCCTGAAAGGCAAAGAGGATGGACATCAGAAGAAAAAGAAAATAGGAAACAACCTCGGAACCTGCCACAGAGGGCCTCTGAAAGCTTCTGCAGTATAGACTGTCAAAGCAGATGCTGAGCCTGATGGCCAACTGATGGGCAGAGTGAATGGAATTCTATGTAAGAAGTGGGAAATAGTAAGAGCTGGAGGGGACGGGAACTCCACAAGGAGAGCAAAAGAACAAGATAATTTGAACACAGGGAACTTCCCAGAGACTCATACTCCAACCAAGGACTATTCGTGGAGATGACCTGGAACCCCTGCACAGATGTAGCCCATGGCAGTTCAGTGTCCAAGTGGGTTACATAGTAATGGGAAGAGGGACTGCCTCTGACATAATCTGATTGGCCTGCTCGTTGATCACTTCCCCCTGAGGGGGGGAGCAGCCTTATCAGGCCACAGTAGAAGACAATGCAGCCACTTTTGATGAGAACTGATAGACTAAGATCAGAAAGAAGAGGAGAACCTCCCCTATCAGTGGACTTGGGGAGTGGCATGCATGCAGAAAGGGGAGGGAGGGTGGGATCGGGAGGGGCTTATGGGGGGATACTAAATGAATAAAGTGTAATTAATAAAAAAAGTGAAAAAGTAAAAATAAATAAATAAATAAATAAATAAATAAATAAATTACTTATTTTTTGTGCATGTATCCATGTATACTCGTGTGTACATGAGTGTGTGTATCCACAGAGGCAACAAGTAGTTTGAGATTCCCAGGAGCTGGAGTTATAGGTGTCTGTGAATCTACTGACATGGGTGCTAGGAATCAAACTCAAGTTCTCTAGAAGAATAGCAAGTGGTATCAACTGCTGTGCCATCTTTCCAGTCCCACTAAACATTATTTTGAATAATGATAACAAAACCTCAATCATTTTGCCTGTCTTTTTTATAAAATATATAGCTCATTCAAACCAAATAATAAATAAGAGACAATTTCTCTCAAACAATCTCTCTCTATCTCTTTAAGGTATCATTATGTAGACTCATAGAGATCTTCCTGTGTATGCCTTCTGATTACTTTGAGTCTCCCCACATCCATGAACACATGAACATCATTAACTTGACTTGGTTGAAAGCAAAAGAAAAGACATGAAGTTGGGAGGAAGATCTGTTGAGGGGACTATGGGAGTGATAGGAGGTGGGAAATGGCTGGGTAAGTGTGATCATGTTTCATTGTACGTATGTACAAAATTCTCAAGAATAAAAAATAAAAATTCACCATTTTGCAATGATTAGTGAATTAACTGGCCTAAGCAGAAATTATCAGTAACTAACAGCATAAAACAGAGGCAAGTGTGCATGACAAACCTCCTGATGCTAATAATAGGAAGGGAAAAGAAAGCCCTGAATCTGATCTAGCTTATAAGAAAAATAAGACAGAGGGTTGCATTAAGATACTACCTGGGAAGCTCTGAACTTGAATTTCCCCATCTTCGGGGTCTGGTTCTTCTACCTCCAGTTTGATAATGAGATTTGGTTTAGTAACATGCTGTTCTGAGGATGATAACTGGTAGATACCTCCTTGGTCATTAGAGCCTGAAACAGAAGAAGTTGCAGTTTGGGGTCAGCACAAGGAACTTGTCACTTGGCATAACCAATTTAGCCAATATTTTGAGTTTCCTTTAAGAAAAGGAAAATGTGATATCAAGCAAGCCAAGGCTCCCTGCTGAATACAAGAACCATCAAATATTACCTGTGGAAGTCACCTTAACTACAGAAATGAGGTTGCTGTAGGTCTCAAGCATCACATCTCTATACAGGGTCCTCTCTGGAGGGTTCAGGTATTGCCACTCTTCCTGGGTGAAATCCACAGCTACATCCTCAAATGTCACTAGTTCCTGAAATGGCAAGCTTTTTTTTAATTCTAAAATGCCAATCACTGAATGATAAGTATATAATGTGAGGGAACAGCAAACTGAGCTCCCAGTTCAATACCTGCTCTACCAGCATATCTGTCTTGCATTTTCTTAATTGCTAATTGATGTAGGAGGACCCAGGCCACTGTGGCACCACCATCTCTATACAGATGGGTCTGGGTCTATGAGAAAAGTACCTCAGTAGGGTAGAAAGAGCAAGCCTATAAGCAGCATTCCTCCATAGTATGCTTCAGTTCATGAATTGTTTCCTGAAAACGAGTGATTCTAATATAACTGCAGCTTAAAAATTACACTTCAAAATTTATCACTGACCTAAATGTAGTATCTAAATTCATAGTACTTGTAGGGAAAATAAGTGTGGGATAAACTCCTTTAAACCTTGATGAGTCAAGTATTTTTTCTGTAACACAAAAATTCCAAAGATACTAACTCTTTTTTTGATGCTCACTTTTAAATATAATGAAAAGACAACAAAAGAGAAATAAATATTCCACATCAAATATCTGATAATATAAAAGTACTTCTAAGTGTATAAAAACTAAAATAAGATATAAGAGCTATATAAACTTTTTTCCCTGGCTGCAGGGGTACACAGCCAGCAAAGGTCCATAACCTCCAGTTTGGAGGAGGTCTATGGACCCCACAATCATCTAGGCTTGCGGGTCCTTAGGAATAGTCAGTCCTTAGGAACAGCCCATTAGAACCTGCCCAGCCTTTTTCTTGCCTACCAGAGGATACAACCAGCAGAGGTCTATAACCTTCCCTCTGGAAGATGCCTGCCTGTCCCAGAATCATCCAGGCCTGTGAGAACCCAGAAACAGCCAGGTTAGAGCCTGGCCAGCCTTTCTTCTGGCCACGGGGACACAGCCAGGAGATCAATATCCAGGCTTGCAGGTCCGTAAGAATACCCAGACAGCAGAAGTGAGCAGTCTGCTATTCTCTGAGATCCACTATAGGCCTAAAGTTCTGCCTGCCTCCCTGAGGAGTCCTGTTAGCAACAGGAACATCCAGCCAACACCAGGGACAACCAGATGGCTAAAGGCCAGTGTAAAAAATCACAACAAATGCCACGGAAGTATGATATTACCAGAACCCTGTTATCCTACTACAGCAATGTTCCCCCTACTACAGCAAGCCATGGAAACCTTGACACAGCTGAAGCAAAAGAAGACAATCTTAAGTCCAACATTATAAAGGTGATAGAGGCCTTAAAAGAAGATATGAATAAATCCTTTCAACAAATAAAATACAACTCAAAGAGGTGAATAAACTCCTTAATGAAATATAGGAAAATACAATTAAAAAGGGAAGGAAATGAATAAAATTGTCCAAGACCTGAAAATGAAAATAGAAGCAATAAAGAAAACACAAACTGAGGCCATCCTGGAGATGGAAAACCTAAGGAAGAGAACAGGAACTACAGTATCAACAACAGAATACAAGAGATGGAAGAGGAGATCTCAGGTGTAGAAGATTTGATTGAAGAAATTGATACAACAGTCAAAGAAATGTCAAATTTAAAAAGTTTCTGACACAGAATATCCAAAAAACCTGAGACACTATGAAAAGACCAAACTTAAGAATAATAGGAATAAAAGAAGGAGAACAATCCAACCTCCAAGGCCCAGAAATTCTTTTCAACATAATCATGGAAGAAAACTTCCCCAACATAAAAAAAAGAGATACTATAAGCATACAAGCTTACAGAACACCAAAAAGATTGGATCAGAAAAGAAAGTACTCCCACCATAAAAATAATCAAGACACTAAATGTACAAAACAAAGAAAGAAAACTAAAAGCTGCAAGGGGAAAAGGCCAAGTCACATATAAATGCAGACCTATCAGAATTACACCCAATTTCTCAACAGAAGCTTTCAAACAGAAGGGCCTGGAAAAATATCTAACAGACACTAAGAGACCACAGATGTCAGTTCCGACTACTATACCCAGCAAAAGTTTTAAGCACCATAGTGAAAGAAAATAAGATATTCCACAACAAAAATGAATTTAAAAAACATCTATCCATAAATACAGCCCTACAGAAGACACTAGAAAGAAAACTCCAATCTAAGGAAGCTAACAGCACCATAGAAAACAAAGGAAGTAAATAATCCCACATCAACAAAACCAAAAGAAGGGAAGCTCCCACACACACCACACACATACACTCTACCACCACCGACATAAAAATAGCAAGAATTAATAATCACTGGCCATTAATATCTATCAACACCAATGAACTCAATTCCCAAATAAAAAGACACAGGCTAACAGAATGGATGGAAAAACGGGATCCATCATACTGCTGCATATAAGAAACACACATCAGTAACAAAGATATACATTGTCGTAGAGTAAAGGGCTGGAAAAAAAGTTTTCTAAGTAAACGGAAGCAAGAAGCAAGCTGGAGTAGCCATTCTAGTACCTGAAAAAAAAAAAGACTTTCAAGCAAAATTAATCTGAAGAGATGGGGAAAGACAGTTCATTCTCAAAGAAAACATTTATCATGATGATGTCTCAATTCTGAACATCTATGCCCCGAACACAAGGACAACCACATTCATATAAGAAACATTACTAAAGCTTGAATCACACATTGAATCCCATACATTAATACTGGGAGACTTCAATACTCCACTCTCACCAATGGACAGATCATCAAGCCAGAAACTAAACAGAGAAATAATGAAATTAACATATATCATGAATCAAATGGACCTAACAGATATCTACAGAACATTTCACTCAAACTCAGAATGTACCTTCTTCTCTGCACCTGATGGACCTTCTCCAAAACTGAACACATACTTGGACACAAAATAAGCCTCAACAGATACTAGAAAATTGAAATAACTACTTGTATCTTATTAGAACACCATGGATTAATGCTAGATTTCAACAAAACAGAAACACAAGAAAACCTACAAACTCATGGAAACTAATCAACTGTTTACTCAGTAACCCCTGGGTCACAGAAGAAATAAAAGAAAGAAATTAAAGACTTTCTAGAATTCAATAAAAAAGAAGGCACAACATATCCAAACTTATGGGACAAAATGAAGGCAGTACTAAGGAGAACGTTCATAGCACTAAGTGCCTTCAAAAGGAAATTAGAGTGTTATTATACTAGCAATTTTAAAGCACACGTAAAAGCTCTAGAACAAAAAGAAGAAAAATACCCAAGAGGAGCGGATGGCAGGAAATAATCTAACTCATGGCTGAAATCATGACTTTAAAAAACAAAGAGAACAATGCAAAGAATCAATGAAATCAAGAGCTGGTTCTTTGCAAAATCAACATGATAGACAAACCCCTAGCCAAACTAACTAAACCCAAAGAGAGAGTATCCAAATTAACAAAATCAGAAATGAAAAAGGGGACATAACAACTGGACCTGAGGAAATCCAAAGAATCATTAGGTCTTACTTCAAAAACCTGTATTTAAGACACAAACATACATAATACATAATAAAGGCAATATACAGCAAGCCTATAGCCAACATCAAACTCAAAGGAGAGAAACTTAAATCAAGCCCACTGAAATCAGGGACAAAGCAAGGCTGCTCACTCTCTCCATATCTCTTCAATATTGCACTAGAAGTCATAGACAACTAAAGATCAAGGAGATACAAATTGGAAAGGAAGAAGTCAAAGTATAACTATTTGCAGATGATATGATAGTATACATGAGAGACTTCAAAAAAATTCAACCAGCTGGCCAAGATGGTGGCTCCGGGAGAACACCTTGTCTGAGAAGTGGGACAACACACTCCGTGCAACGACCAGGAGACTGAACTCTGGGCCCTAAAACAACAGCTATCATGTTTCCCAGGTGAGGGGAGGCTCCCACGGCGTGGGAATCAGTCGGGTCCACTCTCGGCTGCCCAGCCAGAACCCGGAACAGAACCCGGCTAATGCAGGCTTTGGGTCTCCAGGCTGGTGCCACAAGCCTGCAGGTCCCGATCACTTTCCCAGGCTGATTGGTGGGCACAAGGGTGCCTGAGACCGGGATCTCAGTCGCAAAAAAACCCCACGGGGAAGGAAAGTTGCCAGACTGGTCACGGGTCACCCAGTCTTTCCCTGGAAGGTCTCTCCGACCACAGGTACCTGCCGCCATCACAACTGAGCTCCCGCCGCGCACAGAGAGAAGCTGTGCACCCAGCTCAAAATCCCTACTCCCTCTTCGGAGGAGGCAGGAGGAGTCCAGCAGAATCTGCCACAGATCACATTGTCTGTACCCCAACCCAAGATAGGGGCTGAGAAAACCCAATCCTTTCAGGAACTCCCCCAAATGCCGCCATAACCCTGCCACAGTGGAGTGGAAGGATAGAGGCGCACAGCAGCTTCATAGTGCCAGAACACCAGTGCTGCTGGCTGCTCCTAGCAAACAAACTACAGCTCGGGATCTGGGACTGTGGTCATTCTACACGTCCTGAGATTCTCCTGGGTCCAGCGCAATAAGGTCTAGCAGCAAGTTCTATCACCGGCGCCACCCCCCCCCCCCGGGACTTGGCAGAGAAACGCTGGATAAGGGCTCAGGATCCGACTGACAAGCCCCAACCCCTGCTGGCACTCCCCTGAGAGCACCTCCATAAGCTTGCCCTAGAAGAGGGGAAGGTCAGAGGGGAAGGACAGAGAGGCAGCCTGCCAAGGACACAGCATCCTCTCTCCAGCTCACCCAGCGGCCCCTAGCAGAGAAACCCAAGCTCTGGATCTGAGGACACTCAAACCTACCCGGTACTCTCTCAGAATCAGCAAACATAGATTCTACCGCCAGGCTGCTTTTGGCAGAGAGATCTGGGCCGGGGAGCTGGGATTGAGTACACTCAACCTAACTCTTTCCCGCGCCACCCAGGGACCAGTCAACATAATACCTCCTGACAGAGGGATTGGACAAAGAGACAGCACGCAAAAAAGGTGGACACCGAGTTCTGTGGCCACAGTGTCACAGAGCTGACTGTTAGCCTACCCGTGCACTTCCGCAGCAAGACAAAAACAGAGAGTAGTGAGCAAGGGGAACCTCTGCGAATTCCAACTGATCCTGCAAGAGAGTGAGTGAGCCTTCTAGGGAC